GAATAACGGGAATGGGTAACTGGGTTATTGTTGGTTGATAATAATTAATTTAATTATTTATTGTGGGTTGAAAAACCCTATATGCTCACCAGGCTCCCAAGCCTGACCCACTCAGTTTTATTTGTATTACAGGAAGTTGCGCAAGGGCGTAAGATGGATGAACCATCAAGTTGTTTTGTTTACAAGTCTGTATATGTATATATTTGTTGAATGACTTGTAATATTATCGTTTATGCTTATTGGTCTATATCGGAACATGACACCCCGAGTTTTGATTATATAATGAAAAATACATTTCTTTTATGAAATGCTTTGGTAAACATTGTTTTATTATGTTTTGTTTTTGGGAACAAATTCCGCAACTCTTTCAAATCAAGAGGATTTACTCTGAAAATATCTAAAAGCATAAATGAAAATCGGTCTTTTCTGGCCGAGATTTTGGGGATGTCACAATATATATATATATATATATATATATATATATATATATATATATATATATATATATATATATATATATATATTATCTTAAAAGAAGAGTCTTGACTACTCCGTCTTCTCCAAAACCTGGTAATCGTACCTGTCTACTGGTGACCTGATAATACAAGTTATTTTAAAAGCATAGATTAGCATAAAGTTGGTGAATTCATAACTATTTCAGTATCATTGATTTGTAAAAACTTGTAATGAAAGACTTGTAATTGTTTTGAGGAAAAGTTTGTATAAGTATAAAAACCCTAGACAATTCCCATATTTCCTACTAGTAGAAAAAGTAGTCTTCTACCAAGACCTGACTGTTTTGAAGGTTTGAACCTTTGCAGAAATGAAGGTTTTTCCCTTGTACAACTATTATTATTAAAATATAGTCTACCTTATCGATTATGTAAATGTGTAACAAAATAAAGGTAATAATGAAAATAATATAATTATTGCAATCATATCCTTTTGTCTTAGGATAAACACGACGTGGTAACTCGCCGAACAGTACAACCGTAGACTTCCGTCGATGTGCATTTTCCCACTGTAGCTAACAACTGGGTGTAGAATGGTCAGTCCCATATCGTATGTAATAGTATCTCTTCCTATAGTATGTAATAGTATATCTTCATATAGTATGTAATAGTATCTGTTCATATAGTATGTAATCGTATCTCTTCATATAGTATGTAATAGTATCTTTTCATATAGTATGTAATAGTATCTCTTCATATAGTATGTAATATATTTGCATAGACTCATGAATGAACTGAATCTTGTGTGATTCCTTGTACTAGGAATAGTAAGTAGTATCTCCTAACTATACCTATTATAGTTACTAATAATGTACGTGTATAACCGAAAGTATGCCTTTGCTACCCAAAAGTACTTAATTGACTGGTAGAACTTTTATGTCTATGTATGTATACATAATAATAGGCATGTATTTGACAATATAAAAGTTTAAAAGAAGTTTTGTAAAACCTTTGAAAAGTTTAATAAATAAGAATTGATGACATGATGTCAGTTTGTAAAATGATTTAAAAGCAGTTTGTTTGATAAGAACAATTTAAAGTATAAGAAATCCTTTGTTTGAAACACAATTGTTACAGTGTTTGAAAGGAAATATATAGTATGTAAGACAGTTTCATATGGAGTTTAACATGTAAAAACATTTGTGGAAGTCATTTAAAGTAGTATGCTTGGTAAAACAACTAAAAGCATAATATATCCATTTGTGTACTAGTTATTAATCACATGTGATTTATATAATAACTAATATGATTCAACTTGTATGCCCCCCAAAAGCATTTAAAAACATTTAAAAGGTTAATTAGGGGTATGAATCCACCTGTAGTGAGTCGATTGTACGATAGTGTTGGACAAGGTGTTAGGTGTCAAGTGAAGACTTGAACACACACAATGATCTTAGTTAACATATAATAAAACATATGTGTATCCAATCAGTCATTTAACAACTAATTAACTTAGTTAAGACACCCTAGGACATGGAAACACTTTGATTCAAGTGCTATAGGTACCAAAGGGTTGCATCTAAAGGTTGCATGGCATGGCATTGGATTTTATGGCCTAAGGACCACTCATTATGGAGTTTACAGCCTAAGGTCATTTCCCCCATGCGTTTACTGTCATAAACTCATGGTACTAAGTGCCATTTTGTGATTTAAGGTCTTATAAGTCAAGAGTAAGCATTATATGATCAAGTCCAAGCCTTAGGAAGCATTAGGGGCACACTATCACCTCTTTATAGAGTTTACGGCCTATGGACCATTTCCTTATGAGTTTACGGTTGTAAACTCTATGTGGACTTGGTTTCTTTGATGTTTAAGGTCCTAAACAATTCAAGTAAGTGATCTAGACTAGTATCCAAGGCCAAGGAAGGGACTAGAGTTCACTTTGTCCCATCTTTTAGGGTTTACGGCCCAAGAACATTCCTTGGCTGTAAACACCTTTGATCTTGTGATTCATTGTCTTTTCTAGGTTCAAAAAAGTCCATTTCCAGTGTATAACAAGCTAGGATAAGTGTACTTACAATCTAGAAGCTTGATTGGGTGTTTAAGGTCCAAGAACACTAGTGTGTGTTATTGGTGTTTTAAAGAATGCTTGAAGATCTAAACAAATGGAATGATTTCATAGATGAAACCTTGTAAGCTCAATAGACGATGAAGTAAATCAACTAATCAAGGAGGAAAACACTTACAAAGTTGAAGATCAAGAAGGAAAATCGGATGCTACTTGAGAAAGAATGGCTTTTTGGTTTGAAAATGGTAAAAAGTGAATAAAATGACTAATTGTCGCTTATATAGTCCTTAGGGTTTTTGGCCCCTATACCATTTGGGCCGTAATCTCCAAAATCTTGGAGTTTTGGAACCTATATGTTGCACACTTTACCCTTAAGTATCCTCTCTCTATTTATCTCTTGCAGTACTAGGCTTTAGAAGACTCAAACTGACTTTAAACCGGCTAAAAATTAGCAGAAAGTATTTAACTTTTAATTGAAGTGTTTGAATGTACAGGATAGAAAATTTCGGGTTGTCACATCATCCCCCCGTAGAGGGAATTTCTTCTCGAAATTAGAGTTTAGGTAAGGAAGTAGGTATGAATAATCAAGTAAAGAGATGAGGATACTTCCTATTCGATTAATCCTCGCGCTCCCAAGTGAATTCAGGTCCTCGCTTGGCATTCCAGCGAACCTTCACTAATGGGATGCGGCTTTGCTTCGTCTGCTTGACCTCTCGGTCCATGGTCACTACGGTTCCTCCACAAAGTTGAGGCTCTTGTTGATCTCGATCTCGTCGAGTGGGATTACAAGAGTCTCGTCATACAGACACTTTTTCAAGTTCGAAACGTGGAAGGTAGAATGTACGTAACTGAGTTCAAGGGGTAAGTTGAGTCGTGGATGCTTCTTTGCTCTTTCTTACTACATGAGTAGATAAGTAGGTCATTTATAAGGAAGATGACGAACTGATCCAAGTAAGGATGACATACCATATTCATTAAGTTCATGAATATTACGGGCGCATTGGTCTTATCCGAGAGGTATCATTACGGACTTGTAGTGTCCGTATTGTGTCCGGAAGGCCGTCCTTGGGACATTCTCCTCTAACACTTGTAACTGGTGATACTCTGATCTCATATCCATCTTCGAAGGGTAATTCGTTCCTTGCGCTTGGTCAAACGATCCATCTATGCGAGGCAGAGGGTAATGATTCCTAATGGAAATCTTGTCGAGGTCTCTATAGTCGGTGCACATACTAAACAATCCGTCTTTCTTCTTGACGAACTAGACTGGAATTCCCTAGGGTGAGGAGCTCGGTCTTAATAAGCCATTGCTGAGCAGTTCGTGAAGTTGACCGGACAGTTCTTGCATCTCTGTATGTGCTAGACTATAGGTCGATTTAGTTACAGGGGTAGCACTTGATTGGATTCTAAGTTTGTTCGCATGTTGATACGATCACATGTAGTCTTGAGCAGTCTCTGTCCTGAAGTTCATTTTAGAAGTCATGCATGGTTCATGAATCACAGTTTTGTGTATACGACTCGTATATAATTAAAATTGAAAAGGTAGTTGAATAAATGATTCTTCTTTAAGCTCACATCCAAACAAGGAAAAGAAGTTAAAGCGGAATCATCAATTCTAAACTTATAGAACCTTGATTATATACCACCCTTGCGTATACATTCCCCTGTGATAGATTAACCGTATGGGTTTTCGGAATGAACTTGACGTATTGTACGAGTGGTACTCCGGGGAGGTTTCTTCGGGAAGGTTATAAAATATAGGATTTTCCACACATGAGTATCTCAGAGTTCTGGAATGACAGCTTTGCTGGAAAGGCGATTTTAGAGAAAGAGATTTATGTACGAAACTGGTATTATGACACTACTAGAAAAAAGGCCTTTTACGACGCGCAAAATACGACGCTCATTGATCTATGTTACGCAAAGGAGAGTGACATTAGAAAAATGTCATCTCTTCAAAAAATTTAAGGATAGAAGACACGCATTATTGCGCGCCCTTAAATTATTGTCTAAAAAAAACACGGAGGGCACCTATAATAAAATGCGCGTCGTCTAAGGATGTCGCTTTATAATTTTTAATGGAACCCGCGTTCCATCCTTTAACAGTAGGGGGAAATGAAATTCTGAAAAAATTAAAAATCCCGCCTTCCTTTTTTTTTCTCCTTTCCCTCTTGCCCAAATTATGGATGCTCCTTCCTTCCCCCTCCCGACATTGCTGCCTACTTCTTCCCTCACTTCTACCTACCGGAACCACCATATCTCCTACTCGATGTTGAAATTGTTAGAAAAAGCCCTAATTATACACTCCACTAGATTGGGCTCTCATTAATTGGAAATCCGCGCTGAATTTCTTTCTACCCATGGACACGATTTTCAATAATGCGATAACAAAAACGATTACGAGCCATGAGAGAGTGTACCCTAAGATTGATTTATCGTTTTGGACGACTTTGAGGTGGTAAACGATACTGTATTGGTAAATGAAGAATCGGAGAGAAAGGAGGATTTCCGTCAGACGACCGACTGTACCGGTGGATCGGAGGTGGTCCTGTTCTTCCTCCCACCACGATTCCCAGTTTTTGTTCGCCGGAACACCGATTCCACCGTGGTTTCTGATCCACGTTGACCAGTCGTCCCAGTCTTCAACGATTTTTTGCCCTTCTTCAATCTTGAGTACACGGTGTGTGCTTATTTTTTCTGCTCAAATCCCAACTTCCACTTCAGATTTACAGTATTTTTCTATATTTTTTTCTTCATAAACATGCTGATTTATCCCATTCTATACCTAAACTTTGATGTTATGAATAGGGTATCAATAGGGCTAGGGTGGAGCAAATGGAAGACCGGTTGAAGGAAAGTTATGAATAGGGTATCAATAGGGCTAGGGTGGAGCAAATGGAAGACCGGTTAAAGGAAGACATATTGCTAGAAGCTGCAAGGTATTCTTTTTAACATGTTTCTGTGTTTGATATCCATTTTCTTATCATCTCAATACCTATCTCGATTACAGATATGGAAATAAGATCCTAGTAACTGATGAACTACCAGATGGTCAAATAGTGGATGAATGGGAGCCAGTCACACCGACTCTGTCAAAACATCACTACAGGTTCACCATACTATGAAATTAAATGTTCATTTTGAATATCTGTTTCATAATTCCTTTCACTATTGTAGGTCTATTTAGAAATCCAAACAAGAAAATTCCTTGTTGACTACGAACGCATTCCAGCAACAGATGAAAAATCACCCAAGGAACATGATTTTGATACGTTGGTGAGTGTTATTTTCATTTAACAAAATGAAAATATTTAACTTAGATTATACTTTATATATGATTTGTGTTTTATGATCTTTATAGGTTGATAGAATTTCAAGAGCTGATCTTAAGACAGAAATAATCTTTAACTGCCAAATGGGGCATGGGCTTATTACCACAGGGATGGTCATTGCCACATTGATCTATTTAAATCGAATAGGAGCTTCTGGTACTTTTTTTTTGTCTCTGTGAAGTTTATATTTTATGATTGCATGCTTTTACAGTATGCAAATGAACCTTTTTCCTTATAAATTTCCCATTACAACAACATTCTTGAGGCCTGGGTAGACCCGTCTTTTGGCACAACATGAGAGAAGAACCTGTTATTTACATTAATGGAAAGCCCTTTCTGCTTCGTGAGGTTGAAAGACCCTACAAAAATATGCTCGAGTATACGGTATATACTAATAATACTCTCTCATTTTTAATGTTTATTATTTAAATATACTCAAGTGTCAAGTGGTTTAATGTAGGGAATTTACTGTGAAAGAGTGGAGAGAATGGAAGCTCGACTGAAAGAAGATATTCTCAAAGAACCTGAACGTTATGGATGTAAGGTATCTACCTGATACCTTGCTGTAACCTTGTTGCCTAAGAACAGAAAACAAAACAGAGCAGGAAGAAAAAAAGGAAAAAAAAACTACATGGCTGGCAACAGGTGATAACAAGGGAAGAAAAAGATGGGATTTTTTATTTTGCTTGGTGGAAAAGAAAACTTTTATTGCTGAAAAACTTCTTTCTAAATACCTATAACGTAGCATATTTATACTAAAAGAAAAAGAGTTTGACTCATAGTCTAAAACCGGGAAACAAAAATAATAAAAGCATTTTCCTAAAATGCCCCTGTAGGCTTTTTCCTGAATTAAGCCAACAATGGAGGTGATATTATGGCAATTCACGAACTACAATCATATTTTATTACAAAAACTTAATTAAATTGGAACTTTCCCAACATACCCCTGAGGCTATTTTTGTCCCCAATTCTCAGGGGACGGAATAATGATGGATGGTCAAGCTAAAATTTGGTTTTGAATTTAATTTGGTATAAAAATGACAGGTTTGATAATGGTAGATGGTCAAGATACAAGAACTTTTCAAGTCCATTTGGAATATTACACTACAGATAATATCTCTCTTTATTTCAGAACTTCTTACTTCTTCGTCTTATTAACTTTTTCATCTTATAATATGTTTGGATGCTGCTACATTTTAATACTGTCTGGAGTATATTATATTTGTTATTTGTGATAATAGCAGCTGGTTTTGTTTGTGATGGGATTAGTGTAAATTTTTGTCTGTTTTGTTGTTTTCTGGATGATAGCTAGGTACCTAAAGCATTGTTTAAAGGTGGATCAGTAGTCTACATGTCATTGCATGTCATTGCATTCTCACTGTTACCTATCAAAGTACTGAGGTAAATATTATGATTTTTTATATTAATTTTCTTACTTTCTAAAATTATTAGTGTTTTTTTTTTTCTGAGTTATGATTGAAAAACAGTGAATTAGGGTAAATTTTATGAATTATGATATTAGTTTCTGAAAATATATAATTAGGGCATCATTATGTCTTATTGCCCCGGGCAACATATTTCTTTGGACCGGCCCTGGGTCCTTGCATTGCAATTGCCTATTTATCGGTTCTAAAGGACTGTGAGATTCATTGCTTTCATGAAGGATTGGAAGTCAAACGACTTGGTGGTCTCCATGTCATTGGGACATCTTTGCATGAGTCCCGAAGAATTGATAATCATGTAACTTTGCATCAGTATTGTGTTTTAAGGTTTTACATAAATTTAGCATATACTTTCAGACTCAGTTTTTTAATTTATTTCTTGCTTTACAAAGCTTCGTGGCAGAGCAGGAAGGCAAGGAGATCTTGGATCAACACGCTTCATGGTCAGGTAAGTTCATTTAAATGATTTTTATAAAGTTTAAAGTCAATCCTTTCATCTGGACAAAATTCTTCATGTTAAATTACGTAATAGTCCTTGGAGTAGTTGACATGAACAATTTTTTTTGTTAGAATGATTCCATATATATGTGCAAGCAAGCACATGCCTTGTGAAAAAGGGAAATCTATTCTAGTCATTCTCTTTAACAAGGCAACCTTAAAGTTGATTTTTTAAACCTGATGTTTAAAACTACATTGAGTGTGAGATAGAAGTTTATGCAGAGAAGGAAAAAGATAGAAGTTTTTGAGGATGTTGCTGATGAAAAAGATAGAGGTTCTTTAGGATGCTGCTAATGAAGTTTATGCAGAGAAGGAAAAAGATAGAAGTTTGTTGGCACATAGTAAGCTAGATAATTAATGCAATTGTATATAAATGAGTTCATTTTTTTATAACATTTAGTCACTATTGGAATAATTATTTGTATTTGACATATTAGTGAAATGAATTATATTTGTTATTTATGGTATTTTATTTATTATTATGAGATTTCTAATGTATTATTTAATATGAAAAATTAGTAAATCTATAAATAATATTTTTTTAAAACATTTAAAATTATGATACGCAAAAATGTGTGTCATCTTTATTTATGACATGGCCTTTCTTGACAGGGGCTTCCTTGATACGCATTGCGTGTCATAAACACGCGCCTCGTAAGGTTACGACACACAAATGCGTGTCGTCTTCCTTTATGACAGGGCCTTCCTTGATACGCATTGCGTGTCATAACCGCGTGTCGTAAATGTGCGTCATAAATGCGCGTCGTCTATAGACGACACGCAAAAGCGCATCATCTCTCTTTATGACAGGGCCTTGCTTGAGACGCATTTGCGCGTCGTCTGAGCGTTTTACGACGCGCAATGAGCATCGTAAAAGGCCTTTTTTCTAGTAGTGTGAGGATCAGATTGACTTTAGTTTTATGATAATATCAGACTCACTTGGAAATAATGGCATTTGACTTGATCATAAAGGCGTTACAGACAAAACACAACAATGCAACTTTTAACAAAGTTTCTGTACTTTAGATTAACTACAAGACTACTACTGCGAACAAGGTATACTTCAAAAAGCAAGTATACGCAGCACGAGAGTCCCTTGAACGACGGGATCTTGCAAAAGATAAGACTAGAGTTGCACTAGTTTTTAATAGTTTGAATGTATACTTAATTACTGCCAATTGGAAGTGAACCTATATTATAGTAGGGTCCTTTGTTGCCTTTTGCCATTCTGAGGTCAAACTCCTATTCCACCGTCATTCTTCTCTGTTGGGAAGTCCCTTTTGAAGTGTCCCATCACCCCACATAAATGGCATATCCAGGAAATTTCAACATTGGTGGTTGAAGTAATGTGTTGGATCCGTGGAAGTCCCCAAAATTGCTTGTGTATCAATCAGATCCAATAGATGGTGTGGAATTCCAATCAATTGGATGATGTCAGATCAAATAGAAGAGAATGAGAAGAAGAATTAAGATGAATCTAATGATGTATTGATGATATGAATTATGCTCCTTACAATAGATTCTCTCACACACACACTTCTTCTCTCTAACTTTCTCTCTCTTCTCTAGCCTTCTAACCCTACACTCCCACATGCACTCCTCTATTTATATGGACCTCCAGCCATACACATGTGTACAGCCGCACACCCTGTGTACGGTTGTACACACAAACCGCAAACACATACAACATTACATAAAGATATATTTTCCTAGAAAAGCAAAGTATAAACTATATTTTTGACCCAACAATCCCCCCTTGGTTTATAGCTTTCTTTTCTAAATGACCCAACAAGCTCCCCCTAAAAAATAGATGGCTTTTCTTGTCAATCTTCAATGAGTGCTTTGGCTTCAGCTTAATCTTCAAATTTCTTCACAGCATCATATGAATCTTCAATAAATGAATTCATCTTGAGCGGTTGAGTATTTCTTCAAAATTTGACATTGAACGCACATTGGGTGAGGAGGCTTGATGTACTAATTCTTGAAAGATAGCGCTTTCAGCTTGAGAATCTTCAGAGAGAACAGAGAGAACGAATCTTCTGGATCACTTCAGCAGGTTCATAGATAGCAGTAGATTGATTGAGGAGGCTTCAATGCAATCTGTGACATAATCTTCAAGTACAGCTTTACCATGCTTCTGGGGTTGACAAATTGAATGTTTAAAGAATAATCTTCATTTCTTGCTCCTTCGAATGAAAATTCTTCGATGATCACGGATGAAGTATTGGCTCAGAAATCTTCAACACAAACTCCGTAAGTCTTGTCTACGCCTGAAATTACTTTTCAAGACAAAACAAAACTAAAAGAAAAATTAGTAAAAAACAATATTTTTGGATTTTTTTTATTTTCTGGAAAAATAAAAATAGAAACAAAAATATTTTTTGATTTTTTGATTTTTCTAATAAAGAAATAACACTATTTTTGGATTTTAATTTTCTGATTTTTGTTTGATTTTTGAATTATTTTTAATTTCCCCCCTAAAATTTGTGCATAGAGTTAAACTATGAACAAATTTAACAAAAATAAAATGATATATAACTTTAAGAATGATTTGGAATCAAAGTGTTTAGACAACCTTTATCCGCTTGTCGGTACCTTCTATCTTCACGTTTTTGTCTGGTCGATTATCGGTATTGTTGTCCACTTAAACACGTAAAATTGTGACAAAATTAGGACATACTATAAGTGACAAGACAATGTGATCCTAAGTTTCTAGATACTATATCTTAAGGACCATTCAGCTGACGACGACCAGGGATATTGTTGTCCACCTAAATTGAGCAGCGAGATCTATAGACAATCTTTGAGTGTTCAATTTTAATTGTATAGGAACATGTTTCCTGCTTCCTGATATGCCCCAGTAATCAAAGACTTCCAGAGTACTCCTTACATCGGGTGAGAAGACCATCATTAGGAGAGAAGATAGATTCAGATTATTATCACTTATTGTCACACCCCAAAACCACGAACGGCGGAAACGTTCAGGGGTGGAGGACGTCATGTACAGTATCACAACAGTGTAAAATAGTAAACAAGCAACAACATCATCCATTGCATTAAAAGTAAAGTTTTAATACATGTGTGTTCTTTCATTGTAATAAGACATCAAAAATACATAATCAAAATAAAAGACGAGACTTGTCTGCTCCGTCTTCTCAAAACCTGGCCACCGTACCTGTCTACTAATGACCTGAGAACACAATTTATATTGAAAGAGAGTATCAGTTTTAAAGCTGGTGAATTCATAAGTATTTAAGTGTCATTGTCTTTCTTTGATAAACGGTTATGAATGTCATGTAAAACCTTTAAGTAAGACAATTGATATAAGTATGAAAAACCCTAAGAAATCCCTTATTTCCTACTAGTATGAAATGTAGTCTTCTACCAACACCCGAATGTTTTGTTATGACAATGTAGTCTTCTACCAAGATCCGAATGTTTTGTTATGACAATGTAGTCTTCTACCAAGACCCGAATGTTTTGTTATGACAACGTAGTCTTCTACCAAGACCCGAATGTTTTGTTATGACAATGTAGTCTTCTACCAAGACCCGAATGTTTTGTAAGTAAAATGATAGTTTTTCCTTCTTTTTGACTACTATGAACAATAATTGGT